CTCTCCCCTCTCTCTCTCCCTCCCCTTCCCTTGTCTTTGTCCCCTTTCTCCCCTTCTGTCTCCCTCCTCCCCATCCCTCTTCTCTCCTTCCTCTCTCCTTCTCTCCTTCCCTCTCCAGGGTCTCATTATGTAGCCCCCCAGCTGGCCTTGAATTCATAGCAATCCTCCTGCCTCAGCCTCCTCAGTGCTGGAATTATAGGCATGTGCTACCGCACCCAGCTACTGACAGTTCTTTAGGGATTATAACAGTAGTAGAATATGTGAACAATCCTATGCCAATAAATTTGACAATTTCTGTTAAAGGAACAATTTTTCCCCCAATGTTGGGGATCAGACCCACTGTCTTGCATATGCTAGTGCTCTACTATTGAACTACTTTTTTAGCCCTAAAGGAACTTTTTTTTTTGAAAGATGCAAAATGCTAAAGTTTAATCCGTTGGCAGGCTGAAACAAAATGCAATTTGAAAGCACAAAAGACTAGATAGAAAAAGCCTAAAAAGGCCTATATCTGTTAGAAAAATTGTAATTTAAATACTTACTCCAAGGCTGAGATGACTTCACTGCTGCAGTCTACCAACAATTTAAGGAAGAAATACCATTTCTACAAAACCTTGTGAAGACCATGAGACAGACCACTTACCACCTCATTTTATGAGCCCAAACTTACAGTGATTCCAAAATCAAAGACAAAAGAAAACTGTAGACCTAGAATTCTGATAGGGCCAGGGATTTAGCTCAGTGGCCCCACACCTGCCTCATAAGCACAAGGTCCTGAGTTCAATCCCCAGTACCAGGGGGGAAATAAAAGAATTTTGATGAACACAGATGTAAAAATCCTGATAGACTTTTCATAAATAAAGCCAATGAGATATTAAAAGGACAAGGAGGTTTTATACCAGGAAATTGAAGTTGTTTTAACTTGCAGAATTCAACTAATATAATTCTTTTTTTTTAGACAGGGTCTCACTATGTAGTTGAGACCGACCTGGAACTCACTATGTAACCCAAGCTGGTGTTGAACTCACAGTGACCCTCCTGCCTCAACCTCCTGAGTGTTGAGGCCAGGGATTTAGCTCAGTGACACCACACCTGCCTCCCAAGCACAAGGTCTTGAGTTTGATCCCCCAGTACCGCAAAAAAAAAAAAAAAAAAAAAAAAAAGATCTTTATACAGTTGGATAGCAATAGTGAGATAAAACTGCAAACTTCTTATCCATCACAAAATTAACCCCAAATGGATCACTTTTCAAGACATCATTATTATTGCTTTTTGTTTGGTACTGAGGATTGAACTCTGGACCTTGTGCTTGGCGAGGCAGGTGACAGTACCACTGAGCTGAAAATCCCAAGCCGTCAAGACATTATTAAGAATGAAAAATCAAGCCACAGCTGTCAGAAAATGTTTTAGAAAATACTAGTATGAAATACCACATTAGAACCTAGTACTTTATAAAATATTAAGGCCCTAATTAAAATATATTTTTTAGGTCCAGGGATTTAGCTCAGTGGTTCTGGTGTCTTTCTCACAAGCTCAAGGGCCCGAGTTTGATCCCTGGTACATGTGTGTGTATGTGTGTATATTTATTTATTCATTTTAAAGGAAGATATTCATATACTGAATATATGAAGCACCTTTATAATTCATCAATATGAAAACAATTAAATGAATAAAATATAAACAAACACTTTGCCAAATAAAATATAGGGTTGGCAAATAAGCACATGAGAAGATACTCAGTGTTAGTCATTAGAGAAAACAAACTAAAACTACAAGGAGATATCCCTATAGAACTAGTAAAGCGGTCTTTTAAAAAAAAGTGTAACTATACCAAATTTTTTTCACAGAAAGTGGTTTATTGCATAGGTTTTAGAATAAAATAAGAAACTCTTGGGAACTTTCTTAGAAAACTTATTCTTAGGACTGGGGATTTAGCTCAGTGATACCATTCCTGCCTTGTAAACACAGGGTCCTGAGTCCAATCCCTGGTATTTGGGGAAAAAAAATCTTAGAGCTGTAGAACCCTTCTAAAACTGTATTGTCAGTCAATCCGGAAAACCTGGTGGAGGCAGGCACTGAACTCAGAAGCAAGCCCTGTGCTGGCGGCTGCTGTACTGGGTGTCAGGCTGGACTTCTTTACCCTGTTGCCTGCGACACTTTCTTCTCCAGCACCCACTCTGCTCTTCTTCACCATGTCCCACTGTGCAGTCTAGTATGGGACCCTGTGTCAAGACAAGGTTGTGATGACAGGATGGCCACTCAGCTGGTGACCCCTTAATTCCCACAGGGGATGTGGTGAGCTGTCTTCTGAGATGAGTGGTTACAGATGCTCCTCTTTTCCAGTGCTCCACCTTCCCTTCCACACCAATCGCCTTTCTGGTCACCCATTTCCTGTAATGTACTCTGGGGCCACGAGAGCCTGTGTAGCAGGAGAGCAGTGGTGTGCAGCCCCTTACTTGCATCAGGTCCCGTGAGCACACATCCTACCTGTGGTGGCACCTACTGTGGGGCATACTAGGCCAGAAGCAGGGCCCAAGGAGGCTGTGGCCCCATGTAGGGCCCTGGTCCAGCTCAGGGCTTGGTGAGCTTGCTATATAGCCTGAATTCCCAGCCACCCCACATATCGGAGGCAAGAAAACAAGGCTTCAACTCTGAAGATGCTCCAGGGCTGATCTCAGCCTCCAGCCCTGGCTGAGGAGCAGTGGGATCCCCAGCAGCTCAATGGGCAAGAGGCCCTAACCATACCAAATGTTGATGAAGATGTGGAGCTATTGGAATTCTTTATATACAATGGTGCAACCACTGTGAAATAATTTTTTTAAATTGCTAAGCTTATACTTACTGTGTTCGCATCTCAAATATTTATCTAAGAGAAATGAATTCATATTTTCCCATCAAGATTTCCATGTGAATATTTGTATCAGCTCATTTATAATGGTTGAAAATTGGAAGCAAGCTAGATAAATCCTCAACAGGTAAATGGAAAAATTGTGACTTACCTGTACAATGATATATTATTCAACAATAAAAGTGAACAGCATGTGCTCACTTCAACACATATACTAAAAAAAATGAACAACTTATTGCCCCAGCAGTGCATGGTATGCTAAAATCTGTTGGTTGTGATACGGTATTTTCTTGTTTTAATTTGTATTTTCTAATTACTAGTGGAAGATGATTTTTTTTTTTTTTTTTTTTTTTT